TTCGTGTAATATATTCTCGTGTAATATACTACTTATTAGTCTGTATTTTATTATTAATCCAAGATTATTGCTTACTTTGTTTATTTTTAATATGTACACGAAGAGAATGATTTTATTGAAGGATTAAAAAATTTAGCTAGATACTGATTTGAGAACAAATTTGTTAGACTATAAAAATAATTTTATAGGACGATCAAGCTGATTGCTGGAACTTTTTGCTGCGTTGCTCGTTATTTTTGATTTTCCATATAAAAATTTAGGAAATCCAATAAAATAAGATGTTCTGTATTAAGCAAAAGTCTTTCTGTGTAATACCATACAGTTGGAATTAGGTAATGAATTTGAGTTGTACTAGCTTGATCAAAAAGTTTCCGGAATTCATTCAGAAAATTCAAAATATAAGTTTATTCATCAAAAGTGATATTGTCCCCTTCAAAGTACTCTCCAGCGACTGCAACGCACTTATGCCAGCGCTTGATCTCGAAACATTTCTGGAACTCTATTATTGGTATAGCCATCAGAGCCGTCTTCAATTTTTCCATTACCTCCTTTCGGTTGTTAAAACGCGTTCCCCGCAGGTGTTTTGACTCGATCGAACAGAAAAAAATCGCAGGGAGCCATATCGGGTGAATTCGATGGCTGTTGGATGGTATTCGTTTTGTTCTTGACCAAAAATTCACGGATAATAATGGCACTGTGCGACGGTGCGTTATCATGGTGCAAAATCCACGAGTTGTTTACCCACAAATCCTTTCTTTTTTGGCGAATTGCTTCACGCAAACGTCTCATAATAATAACGCCCAAATAATACTCCTTATTAACTGTCTGACCTTCTGACAAAAATTCGTGATGTACCGTTGTAATCCATAAAAACGTGAGCATCGCTTTCTTTTTCGACTGAAAACGACGTGGTTTTTTTTGGTCTTGGCTCATTTGGAGCTCTCCATTCACTCGCCTGATGTCTGGATTGCGTATCGTACTCATAAACCCATGTCTCAGTAATGATGCGTTTGATGAATGTTGGGTCGGATTCAGTCTTGGAAATCATGTCTTTGGCGATGTCAACGCGGTCCCTTTTTTGCATGAAATTCAGTTCCTTCGGGACCAACTTTGCAGCAACACGGCGCAAACCCAAATCATTAACTACAATGTCCTGAACGGATCCATAAGCAATGTTTAAGTCCTCTGCCAGCTCTCTGATAGTTAATTTGCGGTTATTGGCCAACATTTCTCTCACTTTATTGATGTTTTCGTCGGTTTTCGATGTCGACGGCCTGCCACTGCGTTCGTTATCCTCGACGGATTCACGACCACTTCTGAAGCGTTCATGCCACTCGTAAACGGTTGTTTTCTTTAGAACATCACTGCCGAAACAGTTTCCCAACATTTCCAAGGTTTTCGCACCATTGAATCCATTTTTAACGCAAAATTTAATACAAACTCGTTGTTGCAAATTCAACTCCATTTTTGTAAAACTGTAAAAAATCGAAAACACGCGCAGAGGTAGATGTACTCAAGACGGCGTAATTTTTACAAATGTCAAGCTATGGCGATAAAATTTGATGGAAATGTCAATGATAGATGTGGCAACCTAGTCAAAAAAAAGAACTCAAATCAGCTGACTCAGAGCATCACCAGGTGGTCTCTTCCGGAAACTTTTTGATCAAGCTGGAATATAAATCTTCATCTTAGAAAAGAATTTTTTATTTGATTATTAATTTAATCCTCATTTATTTAATTGGAGTATGTATATATTTAAATCTATTCTTTGTGACTTAAGTACATACATTTTTTACTATAATAAAAAAATAAAAACAATCAAAAGGAATTTAGTCGAATGAATAATTTTTTTTCAGTGCAACATAGTTGTATTATTGAAAAAAATAAATTTTACACAGTGCGGATAGCGAGCTAATGGAGGTCCTTTTTTGGAGCAGTTAGATGTAGAAAAGTACGTCATTTGTGAGTTGTAATTTTAAAATTTGTAGTTCGAGATATTTTTAATTGTTTTTGAATAGATTATTTTTATAATTTTGTATCTTAACAAAAATATTATGTTTCTTAAAATGAATAATGTTATATATAATGTACAGACCGATAGACAACACATAATCATATTTTTATAAAACACATGATTTAAATCAAGGATTTTGTTTGAATTCTTCGAATTTCAGTGTTATTCAACATTCTCTCTATCCTGACATTAAAAAAGAATTGTTCATCTGTTTAAATTAATTAATTTGTTTTTATAACTTTTGTTGGACAATATATTTAAGCTAGTAATGTCATATTTGATTTAAATACATACATTCCCCATTGGATAATAGAAAACAGACAAAAACAATTTATTTAAATAATTCTTTTCCAAATCTATCAATTGTTTTAATGAAAATGATAAGTTGTATTATGTATTAAAAGATTATACGAAAGAGAGGTTATAAATATGTTTATGATATGTCAATACAATGCTAACTAATACTTGAAAATAAGTGTATTGTGCAATTTGCAATTAAATATTTGCGTATTTAAGTGCATGCCCAAATTTATATCTTGTTTATGTGTACACACACACACACACACACACACACACACACACACACACACACACATATAAATGATATGTTGTTTTGTAAATTTACAAATAACACATATAATAAGATTTATATTACATTTTAGATACAGATTTATATTTACAAAGACAGGGTAAGTAGAATAAAATCATTTTTGCAATACGAGTAATTTAAATTATAATATTTTTCTATTTAATTCTTAATTAACGCAAAATAATCTCCGAAAAATATTTTAACATTCCAAAGAAAAAAGTTTCCTTTTACACACACGCAACATCGATCCAGAAGGATTTGATTCAATAATCGAAAACTTCTTTCAATTTTGGATTTAATCTCGAGAATGAGTAGAAGGATTTTGTTCGAATTCTTAAAGTTTATCAACAACCTGTTTTAAAGAAACATTCAAAATATGCAAATAAAAAAATTCTTGATTACAATAATTATTTATAACTTAAAATGTTTTAATTTGGGATGTCTTCCTTAAAAACAATTCTAATGTATTTGTAGTACATAAATAAAAATGTAAACATTCTAACAAAGTACCTTTTATTTCACACTTTTTCATAAATAATGATACTACATGACAGCTAAGACGCTATGTTACACTAAGAAATAATAAAAAAATATGTCAATTTTGAAATTTTTGATCATTCTCGATATAGATTCCACTTTCTAGACACGTATTAATGCTTACGTATTAATACTGTAATCTTGGAAAAGAATTTTTGAGAATCGGTGAAAAAGGAAAAAGTATTTCTTATACAAAAATTATACATGCTTACGCGGTAGAACAGGAGGCTTTAGAATCCTCTAAACGATCCTCTACATAGAAATCGTAGGTGGAGTCATGGAGTCTTAAGTCGTAGGAAACCAACCAATCACAATCAAATATAAGAAGAATACTCTGTTAAAATTGTTCAGTTTCCTACGATTTAAGGCTCCACGACTGTCTACAACTTCTGTGTAGAGGATCCTTTAAATATGATTTTAAAACAGAATTCTTTTACGCGACCGTTTAGGAATTGTTTTATTTCTACACTTTCTTATTTTTCTTCATGAAAACCGAAAATTATTAATAATACTAAATGACACTATACACAATATACAAAAAAATTATATGCTCGTGCATATGTATAATATTCTGAAAACATTAAAATATTAATGATATATACATATGATGAAATTTATTCAGATTATGAAAGTTAGATTTATTACAAGATTATCCATATATTACACATAGTTAGTTACATGTACTGTGAATACATTACGTCTTATATAGATTTTTATCTATTTCTTGTATAAGAAATAAAAAATAAAATGATAATATAATGAAAGAATACAGATAATAAAATGTGATACATGGAATTTTTCTTTGATCTTTATACTTGATCCTTATATTTGTTCCCTTTGACTATAATATTTTTTGTATTATTATTATTATATTATATATATATTACTGTATATTTTAATCTCATTCCTGATTCCATTTAATTGATACTATTAGTAGAAATTACGCAAATGTTTATACTTTTGCAGTAATCTCGCAATATTAATTTTATATATATTCCTTTACACATAAATATAAAGGTTACTATCTAGTACAAAAATCGACGAGTATAATTTAATTTGGTTAGGGATTTCATTCTATTTTTCATTAATCGATTTACAATCTGGTCATATGCTATTTTGCTATTTAATGAAAATATATGAATATACATTTCTATATAATATTGAAATATAATATTGAAATCTATATTATTTAATGGTATTTATAATCTGTTATAAATACCAATAAATACAATTGAAATGTTGAAATCTAACTTATTCAAAACTATTTAAATCAGAAATAAAATTAAAAACCATTAAAATAATAAAGTATTAAAAATAAAAACTGTCAAAAATTTTTAGGAATTTCAAGAAATTTCTTGCCATATTGTCAATAAATGGACATGATAATAATTTCTTGTCAACAATTTCTTGACAACAATTTCTTAAAATCAATTTCCAATTTTTGGTTTTGGTCTTAACTTGAGTCGAGATAAAACAAAGACAAGATTTCTTGAATTTTTTGTCTTGATGATACACTACATTGAAAAATATTAGAATTCAAATTATGTTCAATTAAAGTAACCGAATTATGAATTTATGATGTATAATAAACTATGAATTTAGTTACTTTATTGATTTTTGTTTCAACATAGCAAGATTCTACATTTTTAAATCCAAAGGATTTAATTATTAGAACGTTTCTCGAATATTAAGAATTCCACATCCTCATTAAATAAAAAATATGTCAAAGGAGGAGGAGGCTTATAAATTATTGTAATCTAATATGACATCTCCGTCACAAAAATGTGCTAACATTATATAAATTTCTGTTTACATATGAAAATACATAATGACCTAGATTAATATTAAAATGATATTTAATTATGTAAATGGTATTACACTCATATTTTCCGCTACATTGAAGTAACCTTCATATTCCGTCGTATCCGGTGTAATATCGCTAATAAATTGTCCGCCTGATCCATAATTCGAGAAACAGTGGAACTCATTTCTATCGTACAGATTCTAAAAAACGAACAACTAAAAAATATCAATACTTATAACCTAAAATATCAATAATTAAACGATGTTTAAATTTTCGGATTTATACAAATCTGTTGCGTTCAATAATTAAATGATTGAGAAAGGTTCTACTATTTTAACCCATGTAAGTTATATAATTATTACAGATTTAAATTTGACAGAAGCGGATTGACAAAAGTAATTGTATTAATTAATTACAATTAAATTTCTAATGATATTTATCTAATTTATCTATGGTAAATAGTATAATATGATAACTTCAAGATCAATGGTTTTTAATGTCTGCATAACCGGGACAAATAACTTACAATATCGTAACGCCGTTCCGCAGTGATAAATTTTAGCTTATCGTTAATTATTGTGCCAACGGCTATCATATCTGACTGTAAATGTATCTCGGGACATTGCTGTCTTCTAATAAAATCATGAAATGATTCTAACATTGGCTCCTCATAATCGTCCCACATAAGATTACACGCCACAATTCCGTTTGTGATCTTTAGAACACCACCTAAAGCTTTGAGGCAAGACAAAAAAAATTATGTAATAGTCTTTATATATCCTTTTTTAACTGTATACACTAGACTACAAATTATTACCGATAATTTTATTTTCATTCCTTTTATATTTTTCATAAAGAACTGTTTGCATTGAAGTTATAATATCTGTGTTAATAGTTTTTCGACCTTTTGCACGCATTCTGATAACAAGGCCCGTCCTACCTTCGCTGACAAAGAAACTGCCTTTGTTGGTGTATATCATTTGATTAGGATCAGTCAACTTTTCTATTCTTGTCTGTCCGTTACGCCTCTCTGCGAAAATAAGGCGACTCTCGTTCCTAATATCCATAGGTGCTCTATACGTTGCATTCATAATGAGCTACAACAGTAATCAAGTTTATGAGAAACAGTAATAATATCATAGGAATCGTGTGTGATAAAAGCATTATTGAAACTCATTGAATGAGTTGAATAATATTAAATCAGTAGAATGGAATTACAAAATAATAGTAAGGTAATTTGATGATATGATTCGAAGATTATTGCTATTTGCTATCTACCATTACCTCGTCAATTACGTAGCAGTGACACATTATCATATCATAGTGTCGTGTATTATCTACATGGATATGAAAATGTGAAAATATTGATAATACGTACGTGTCCGTAATAAGGCATATGTGGTTTTGTAGCGTAAGTAGATCCGATGATAAAAGAATTACGGCAGCTGGTTGTAAGTACATCTTGAATATTCCGTGTTTTATAATTCCACGGTATTCCGTCATGAACGAATTCTACTACCGACGTGTTACCTCCTAATCCTGTATGAATTATTCATTTTTTAGAGATACTCCATTAAAAGAAAAATTGAATGCCTTGTAATTTCTTACCTATTCCGGCAAGATTATATGGTGCTGTAGTTAAATAAGGGCATCTTGCTATGTCGACTTTTACGTCATGGAACAAGGGTTGCATTCCATTTTGTAAAACTATTATCACATAATGCATCAAATATGATGTGTTTGGTGAATTAAACAATAAATGTTATATACACATACCTTCTGCGATTTCTGAGAGGGTTGGTGGGGTCAACTGAATGGTAAAATAAGGTAAAAATTCACTGGTATAATAATCGCCATTAGATGCATTCGCCATAATGTTAAATTATTATAGAATTGGAACACAAGATTGTTAAATTTTTACTGAAAACTACGCGTAATAAATTATAAATTGTTATAATATAAATAAATTCAATATCCGAAAGAAAGGTTAACATTAGTGAACTATTTGAAATAATCTAAAATTTGAGGGATGATTGTTAATATGTTACAGCTATATGCTGTATGTCACTGCCCAAAAGTTTAATGCATTTTTTAATTTGGAAAGTAGATTTAACTAACTTTTTTATTAACATTATAAATGTACTAAAATTTATATTTTCTCAATAATAAATTATTCTAATTATGTGAATAAGTTTAAATATGAAATTAAATATTACTTTTTTAAATAAGGTAATTGGTTATGGATGATTTAAAAATTACGAAACACCTTAAAATTTTGAGCGATAGTTTATGATGGGTTTATTTGCAATAATCTGTTATAAATAATGTATCTACCAAAATATATTATGTGAATTGTATGCGGATTATTTTTGGATATAAATTACAAATGTCTTAATTCATTAATATTCAAGTACTGTTTGTTTAAATAGTAAAATGGTTGCTATTAATTGTAGTTGCCAAGAATACAATTTAAATGATTATTATTTCATAAGTTTCTGTGGATTAAAAATATTAAAAAAATATATCAAATGTCGCTCTGTGTATGTAGTTGTTAATGCGCTGTTAAATTGAATTTGTCATTTAATTTTCCCAACTAAAAACCGTAATATAATAATGTTATAAAAACATTATCCATAAAACAGTATCCATGAAACAAACGCAAGACATGTTTAGATTGAAGTACGGTTTAAATATTATTAAATAAATATTATTAAATAAATAAAGAAATATAAACAAATTAGTCAGATAACGCTAGTTCAAAAAGCAAAAAATATGCTAAACGACCGAGAGTCGAGCAAATAAGATGTGTAAAAAGCAAAATTTCATAATTGGAAGTAATTGCAGTTACAATTATTAGTTTTTCATTAAATCATTTTTAACATCGTTAAATCATTCCTCGTTAAGACCATAGAGGATGTGATTTTCCAGTACAAATAACTGGAAATAGTTTCGAATCATGGATCACATTAAGAGCATATAATATTTGAGTATTATAACGAGGAATTATTTCACTATATTAAATAAGGTGATAAAATGGAAAACTGATAATTGTTGATGCTTTTTATTCAAATTATTACTTACTAAGTAAAATTATGTACATCACTGAATAAAATCATTGTAAAATGGTATGAACGTTTGAAATATTTAACGAGAATATTTTATCAACACAATAGATCCAGCTCAGCTCCTTTAGCCCTCAATTGTTTAGTTAAATTATATTCATTTATAGCTTCATTTAAGTGTATTTCGTAATATTCTTTTATCTTTTATATGTTTAATTACGAATTAATGATGACTCTGTGAGTCAAAATGTTTCCTGTATTATTGTATTTTTATTAAATCGTAAAATGTTTTACTTATTTAAACATCTTGTTTGTTCTCTTGGTCGTTTCAATTAGAATAATACAGACATTATGTCGTGTATATTCTTGCATATCAAGTTTGTGTGTGTGTTCTACTTACCAATTACGTTGCAAAAGTATTATATGATCGCAGAATGTTTAATTTCTTAATTAAATCATCGTCATAGATACGTCTTTCCTGTCATAACTATACGAACGGTATGGCACATTTTGAGATGCTGCTTTTTCCCAAATATAACAAGAATACAACAATTTAATATACTTTAGAACCAAAGCGGTCATCTGAATCAATAACTGATAAACATAATTTTGTGAAATCGTTACTAGCTTTTGAAATTTATAAATAAATAGAAATTTAAAATGCATTATTTATTTTTAATAAAACGTTTATTTAAAGTCTAATTTATACAAATGTTTTCTATTAAAAAACAAACGCGATATTTTTAAAATGTCACGTAATATATATTTTATCCGTCTTTTATTATTAATTCAATAATATTGTTTACATTGTTTATTTTTAACGTGTAATGTCGTAATGATGGAGCTAATGAATACATTTGAGCTATATATAAATCTTCATACTCAAAATGAATATTCCATTTGAATATATTAATGTAGTATTTGCTTCTTTTATTGGATAATGTATTTAAAGCCGACTTTACATAATACTTTACTGCTGGATTACTAGCCCGTTTTTCGAACTGAATGTTTCTCGAATATTAAAAGCCTTAAAGTCTCAATAATAGTAAAATATACATCAAAAAGCTTGTAAGCTTGTAATATACTATCTGATATAACATTTTTGTCACAACAATGTGTTGGTAACATTGCATAAATTTTTGTTTATATATGAAAATATATAAGGATTTAGTTGAATTTTAAAAAGGCAATTTATTATAATATATTTATAATATGTTATAATTAAATGTTTTTTTTAATTTAAGTAACCTTCATATTTTGTCATATTTGGAGTAGTACACTAATAAATTGCCTATCTGCTCTATAATTGGAGAAACTATGTAACTCACGATTATTGGACATATACCTACTGAAAATTATGGAACATCAATATTTCATTAATTTTTGAGATTTAGAAACAATTATCGTGTTTAACGATTAAGTAATTGTGAAATATTTCATTAATATAATTTATTTTTATCACACAAATTCAAATTTGACAGAAGCGTATTGATAAAAACAATTGTATTAATTAATAAATAAAAAATTAAAAGTCTAATGACATCTAAGTGACAAAAAATATAATGCAATATTTTCCAAATTAATCGGTTTTGATGTCTAATTGACGGTCATTTGTCGCTGGTTGATTAGATATTTATGTACTTATTAAGAATAAAGTAGATTATATATTTCTCAAAATTATTTTATTACAAAATGTGTAATATTTTTAAATATAATATTAGGTGTTGGAATTAATTCGTAGCGTTTTTAATGAAAGAATGTTATTTATTTCACATGAGCATTAAAAAATACATTAATGAAAGTACTTCCCATCTCTTGTAAAACGCTACGAATTAATTCCAACACCTAATATATTATTTTTAAAATAAGTAGAAATTAAAAATGGCATTATTTGCACGCACGGAAATTATACGTATACTGGAGAAAATGATCTAAATAGGAAATCGTGCAAACTTCGTTTTCTTATATTAGAATAGACCGTATTCATTGTATAAAACTTAATATTAATATTTATATTCGACAAATGAAACTTTTTTTATAAAAACTTTGTTATATGAGCACTTCTTACACTCACTATATACGCATGTATATTTGTGCATGTATATTTTTGCATGTATAAAACATTAAAATACGGATAATGTGTATCATGAAATTTATTCGAACATTATGGAAATCTGATTTATTATAAAATTATGCATACATTATATGTAGTTATATGAACTGTATATATTATATATTTCAGATTATTGTATGTAAATACATTCGAGGAAGTCACATTCTATATAAATATGAAATTTGCATTACAAAAGTATAATGACAGTAAACGAAAAAATGGAAACTTAAAAGAATGAAAGTATGCTTTTATCGTTTTTATTTTGATAGAATAATAATTTGATAATGATATTATGAAATTTTTATGATGGTAACGGTAACACCAGAGTTGCAAAAGTCAAACGCTATTTCTAACGAATTAGAATAGTCATTATTAAAAAAAATAATTATTTATTTGTAATTAATTATTTTTATTTGTTACATTTTTTGTAATAAAAAAAATAATTCGTCTATGCGTTATAAGTTACTTATTACTTTTTTTAGTAACCGCATAATAGAACAAGTCACTTTTTAAAATCATTTTCGTAACTTTAACGCAACCAGTAGAAAATACAATCAACATCAAATCAAATGGTTCGAAAAATCTATCGATACCGATTTGATCTCGACTTATGAACCAGTGTAGAGTCCTCTTTAATAATGTTACAATATAATTTTAATCAAATACTTTCTCGTTAAGCGGTCCGTTAAGAATGAGTCAATTATGTTATCTATTCCAGAATTGTACTTAATACTACAAGAATTTTTGTCATGTTATTGAAAAATTAGAATTAAAATTATGTTCAATTAAAGTAATCGAATGATGAATTTAATTACTTTATCGATTTTCGTTTTAGGGAAACATAGCAAGATTGAATATATTTAAATCCTATGGTATTAGTTGTTAGAGTTCTCAAATATTAGATATAAAACTCCTCATTATATTACAACTATTACGTCAAAAAATCTTATAAATTATTGTAATCTGATATGACATCTTCGTCACAATAATGTGCTAATATTACATTAATTTCAGTTTGCATATGAGAATACGTAATACCTAGTTCAATATTAAAATGGCATTTAATTATATATAACCGGTATTATACGCATATTTTCTGCTACATTGAAGTAACCTTCATATTCCGTCGTATCCGGTGTAATATCGCCAATAAATTGTCGGCCTGCTCCATAATTAGAGAAACAATGGAACTCACTTCTATCGTACAGATTCCAAAAAACGAACAACTAAAAAATATCAATACTTCGGTATGTTTAAATTTTCGGATTTATACAAATCTGTTGCGTTCAATGATTAAATGATTGAGAAAGGTTCTATTATTTTAACACATATAATATATCAACTATTTTAACCTAAGTAACTTATATAATAATTACAAATTTAAATTTGACAGAAGCGGATTGACAAAAATAATTGTATTAATTAATTACAATTAAATTTTTAATGATATTTGTTTATAATAAATAATATAATATGATAACTATTAGGTGTTGGAATTAATTCGTAGCGTTTTACAAGTGATGGGAAGTACTTTCATTAATGTATTTTTTAATGCTCATGTGAAATAAATAACATTCTTTCATTAAAAAACGCTACGAATTAATTCCAACACCTAATACAAGATCAATTGTTTTTAGTGTCCGCATAACTGAGATAAATAACTTACAACACCGTAACGCTGTTCCCGAGTTATTAGTGGCTTA